AAGACACGAACCTCTGCGCCATTCACGCCAAGAGGGTCACCATTATGCCCAAGGACATCCAGTTGGCCCGTCGGATTCGCGGAGAGCGTGCTTAATCCGTTATTCAGTAGCCATTTGTGTTAGTTTTGTCGGGTATTTTGATGGTTTGAAAGATGCGAAAGCTCAATAGGAGGACGCTTTGTATGATAATTCCTCGTTTTTTCGATTTCTTATGAGGACATTACATTGTCTGAATCATTTGTCTCTAAACTTGGAAGGAGTAGTTTGACTATTTCAATATCCTTGGATGTTACATCTCATGATTTGGCTAAAAGTTCAAACCTTCAATTTAGGGTTTTGGTTGTAAAACCGTAATTGTCCCAAACCCTAATTGTTTCATAATGTTGACAATTTGATAATCTTTGAAGCTGTAATTTTTAACTTTGTCAATGAATATTTTGTTAAATTGTCGAGCTGTTATACCAGCGGAACACAAATAGTCGATATAGAAACACAAGGCTGTACACGTCACCGATCCAGGCATAGAATAGAGAGAGTTAACCAATAAGATTTCAACACAAAGATCGTCAACTTGTAACTTCACCTATTTACTACATTCTTCTAACATGCCCAGTATCATGTTGCGCTTTTGCGATTCTGTTTGAAGGTAAGAATGTTCCGATGACGTGATTCTTCTGCGAATTCCTTCTGATTTTGTCTGATTCAGCTTTTTCGCCTTGTCTGTCACCGAATTTCAAGCCCTTGCGTTGTTTTCGTTTGACAAGACATGGCTCGTACGAAGCAAACTGCTCGTAAATCGACTGGAGGAAAGGCTCCGAGGAAGCAACTCGCCACTAAGGTTAGTTTCGTTTCGGTTTCGGATTACAATCGGCATGCCAAAAGGGGATCTAGGGTTTTCGTTTTGGGGTTTAGTTTTGAATGATTTTGGAGTTTGGAGTTTGGGTTATGGTTCTAATGCAATCGAAACGCAGGCCGCGAGGAAATCTGCTCCGACCACCGGAGGAGTGAAGAAGCCTCACCGCTACCGTCCTGGAACCGTCGCCCTTCGGTAATTACACGTTTCGGGTTGTGAAACCATCTTCTCTTCGATGTGAAATCTAATGGGTTCAATGGTTTTTTTTTTAATAATGTAACAGTGAAATTCGCAAGTACCAGAAGAGCACGGAGTTGTTGATCCGTAAGCTTCCGTTTCAGCGTCTTGTTCGTGAAATTGCCCAGGACTTCAAGGTGAACAAATCCATCTTCCTCGATCATGTTTATATTTGCTCGATGTTTGAATGAGCAAATCCAGCCTCTGCAATGGATTCAAACTCTAGGCTTTTCCCGTAGTAGGATGAGATAATATAGATTGATGTGGGATTCTTTGGAACTAGTACCACAGGAAGTTCCATATTTTGTTACCTACGCTGTTCTGTAAACTTGAATCTGTCTTCTTCGAAAAGGGTACAGCAAATCGGTTTCATCTTTTGTGTTTTCAAGAATCTGGCGTTGCAAGCAAGGATTGCTAGTGACAGATTTCATTGCAGAGGCTGAAACTAACGGCTTGTCATATGATCCAAGGAATCTGTGTTTTTTTGAAATTGGGTTTCATATGACATGACATGCTCGATTGGATTCTAGCAACCTGAGTTACGAATCCGAAACTGGGTAGCCAAGTATCCAATTGCATGGACAGACATATTGTATGATCACTGGGTATATTCTCTTTTTCTTGCAATCTGAAACTCTGATAGCTAAGGAATCTGTGTATTTGTTTTGTCTATCATCAAACTGGGTTTCATATGAAAGGCTTGATTTTGTGAATGCAGACGGATCTGAGGTTCCAGAGCCATGCGGTGTTGGCTCTTCAGGAGGCTG